GCCTTCCCCCATCTCCACAACATCGCCCGGTTCCGACACTGTCTCACACTGCAGGCCGCTGAGACCCTCCTACATGCATTCATAACATCGAGGCTCGATTATACAAACTCACTGCTTGTCAGCTTCTCCAACTCCTCCCTCCACAGGCTGCAGATCATCCAGAACTCTGCAGCCCGAATCCTTTCCCGCACCAGCCTCCGTGACCCTATCATCCCCCATCCTCGCCCGACTCCACTGGCTCTCCATCACACAGAGGATACAGTTCAAGATCCTGGTCCTCACCTTCAAAGCCCTCCATGGTCTTACTTCCCTTACCTCTGGGACCTCCTGACCATCTACCAACCTGCCGGTTCCCTCCATTCAGCGGGCTCACGTCCCCACCTCGCCCGCCCCACCATTGGCGGGCGGGTCTTCCGCCATTCTGCTCCAACTCTCTGAAACTCCATCCCGCAATCCCTCAGCCTCAACCCCTCCCTTGCCTCCTTCAAGACCAGTTTCCAAACCTTCCTCTTCGACTGTGCCTTTGGTCACCCTCCTTCCGCCCCTGCTCTCCACCCTCCCCAACCCTCAGCTCGGGTCCGAAACCCTGATTGTCCAGCGCCTTGGGATGTCCTCCTGACGTGAAAGGCGTTATCCAAATGTAATTTTGTTGTTGTTGTCTCAGAGTGCAAGAAACAATCATGAGGATTGTTGGACCACGACACAGGGTGAAACTCCCTTCTCTTCTCCCGTGTCTGGAAGGGGAGGGTTTTGCTTGGAAGTGGGTAATATTCCATTAGCTTGGTGTTGGGTGACAGCCTCAGAGTTATTCTATTTCCCAAATTAACAATCCTTCCGTTTGATATCACACCTGCCCAAACTTCTAAATATACTGTAAAGTTTGTCACTGTTTATCCTGTAACAAACTTTTTTTAATCAACTGGAAACCCATCCCCATGCTTAAGATTATCCAAACCAAACTGAGAATTCCATGCATCCCACCTACACAAGGAAATCCCAGAGATAGATTGTTGGAATGGAATGCGCAGTCTCTCCCTGGAAAGACACATCCTCCTTACCTAATTCCAGAAAGTATTAGGTATAAGTGAGCAGGAGCCAAGGCTTGGGGACTCCAGATTGTGCGTTGGGGTGACTGCTGGAGTTTAACCAACTGAAACTGCATGGCTTGCTATTGAGAGCGCTGTCTGGCAAGCTTTTCCACTGCTTGTCCAGCTAGGACCACCCTACCCATTCGGGTTTTGGCTGATAACGGGAGACGACTGGGAGGATTCCCTGCTCTCAGTGCAAGAAACCGGCTGAATGGGCACAGATATAACTGTGGTTTACTGTCTCATCTAAAGCATAGCACCTCAGAGAATGGAAGCTTGCAAGTGATCTCAAAGTCCTGAGCTGGGGCTTAAACCCACAACCTTCTGGCTCTGAGGTGAGAGTGCTAACACCTCAGAGTTTTCTAATTGTTACCTTCATGTTGCAGTCACTTTGAGGGAGGGGCACAAGATCTGACAGCTGTTGGGATGGTGGGGGTGGAGTTGCTGCATTTCGCCCACAAAATATACATTCAATTCACTTTACAGTATATTCTGTGAAGCGTTTTGAGACGTCTCGACGAGGTGATATGGCACTATGTCAATTGCAAGGATTATTATAATTTTATGGGGGGGTGGAGGCTATAGACATTTTACTGGGGGAGCGGGATGGGGGGAGTGGAGATAAATTGTGTGATGAAGATCTTGGGTCTGGACCAAGGTTAACGTGTTTGCATTGTTTACGAACAGCTCTCCTAAGGCGGGCCCAGCATAACATGGCCGACGTTGCTCTTTTAAGACATTGGACTTGAGAATAAAATCCTGAAGTTGCACCCCATGGGATGACATTGGGAGCTTTGGGAGGGGGTGGGCCAGGCTCCCAGCAACAGGGCTAGAGACGGGTGATGGGATCAGACTGGTTGGGAAGTGAGTGGTTTAGGGAGAATCTTTCTGAAGGTCGAGGAGATGAGAGCTGGAGACCTGCGTTCGAGTCGAGGGGAAGGAGTTTCATTACGGAGTGGGGCTGCTGGTGATCTCTGTGGATCCCCGTCTATAATAATATATTATTACTTTGCATCCCCAACAATGCAACACCCCCCAGAACTGCACTGGAGGGTCAGTTTAGACTATGTGAGTTCAAGTCCCAAAGTGAGGCTTGAACCCAAAACCTTCTGACCCAGAGCAGGAAGGAGTATGTTAGTCTGGCCTGCTTCACGTCCCCCGAGCTGCCCACCCTACCTTGGCAGTTGGGCCTTGAGCCTTTCTGCCCCCATTCTCTGGAACTACATCCCGAATCCCTCTGCCTCGCTCCCTCCCTCCCTCGTCTCCTTTAAGGCCAGTCTTGAGACCTTCCTCTTTGATTGTGCTTACAGCCACCCCTCTACTCCCCCTACCCTCCAATCCTGTTGATTCCAACCCCCAGCTCGAGTGCAAACCCTTAACCGTCCAAGGCCTTGGGTCGTCCTTCCTACATGAAAGACTCTGTACATGAATACAATTTGATGGTGTGTTTACAAATGTGATTTTGTTGTTGTTGTTATTGTTGAGCGAGGCTGATACCTGCCTCAGGAGTTGGGAAGTCTCTGATGCTTTGTTTCCCACCCAGCACGACCCAGCAGTGCATTACGCACTCAAAGCCCCCAGTGCTGTGCTCCCAGTCTCTGGGAAGCTGTGACAGGGCTTTGTGTGCTGTGAGGCAGAGTGTTTAACACCTTAATAAATACTTAGTCGGCTGAGCGAGCAGGCGACTAACCATTACAGGATACAGAGCTCCCTCCCCGGCTTTGATCAGAATAACCGAGGAATCTAATTAGAATACGATATCTCTCTCGGTCGCTCACTAGAGCTGCCAAAGCCCTGCAAATATGTTGAGATCATTGGGGGCTACTGTAACAATGTGCAAGACAGCTGTGTGCGTACTGATCATGCGAATAGTTGAGACAGGTGTTAATGCTGGCAATGGTTGCTGCTGGGAGCCCAGCCACGATGGACATGCATGATGTATATAACTGAGAGGACTGTGCTCAGACCATCACAATTATTCCTGCCGTTCACACACTGGTTTGGTGTAGAGAGCTCCAGTGGGGGAGCGAGCACCAGCACAGACACAATGGGGAGAGAGAGAGAGAGGGAATCTCGCACTCCGCTCTCTTCTCTCCCCTGATCGCCCCAGGGTCCTGGTATTCCCCCTCCACCAGCCTCATGATTCCCAATTGAGATAAAAGATGGGAAAGGAGAGTGGGAGGACTCTGGAAGGCTGGAGAGGAAATAGCTAACATTGAGAGAAATTACATCTTCCATGTGTGTTATACATCAAAACAGAACTGCTGTCAAGATTGTTAGTGAGTAAAAAACATAGAGAGCGTTTATTTAAAGCAATGATATGTCCGGACTTGTAAAACATAACAACACAAATCAATTTAAATTTACACAGCACCTGTCATGTCAGGTGGACGTCTTAAAAAGCTTGACATTGTTGGCTGAGCACCCGAGCTGGGCGGAGGGGAAAGGTAACCAAAAGCCTGGTAAAAAGTTTCACGTTTGAAATAACGACTGTAACACCCGAATGTCTCCAACGCTTCACAGAACTCTGCTTACACTATACTTGACGTACAACCACCTGTGAAGTGCTTTGAGAAGTTTTGGTGCTGTGATAAGGCATTGTATCACATTATTTTATAACACATAAAGCCCATTACGGTGCTTAAGAGTTTCCAAACTACACAGAGTTCCATGCCTGGCACCTACACATGGAAATTCCCATATCTGGAATGGAATGTGCGCACTCTCTATCTCTCTGGCGAGAAGCTCCCTGTTTACCTAATTCCGGAGGGTAATAGACACAGATTGGCAAGAGCCCAGGCTTGGGGATCCCGGAATGTACTTTGGGGTAACTGCTGGACTTTAATCAGCCAAACAGATGAGATGTTAAACTGAGGTCCCGTCTGCCTGTTCAGGTGGATGTAAAAGATACTCAAAAAGAAAAGTTTCTTGCCCAAACCCCAAAATAAAATCAATCACTCAGTCCCTAGCTGTTTGTGGGACATTGCTGCGCATAGATTGGCTGCTGAGTTTGCCTACAAAATATATAGTCACAACACTTCACAGTGAATTCTTATGAAGCGCTTTGAGACATCTTGATGTGACAAGGTGCTGTATCAAATGCAACAGTTTTATTAAGTTCAATCTTAAAATCTACCTCTTTGAATGCCAGACTTATCCATCCTCTCCCCCAGCTCAGGATCCAACCCCTTCATTGTAAAGGGCGCTGTATAAACACAAGTTACTGTTGATGCTCTGAGATCAGCCACTGCCACAGACAGCCAGCGCCGTGCAGTCATTTGGAACAAATTCTGCAAAAACAGTGTTGGGCGTTTGGGAACTCGGACAGGAATTAATGGCCAAATAATTGCCAGATATTCTTGAATGACTTCAGCGGGAATTCCAGGCAACAGGAGGATGAAAGAGAGAGGAGAGAGAAAGAGAAAGAGAACTGCTTCCAGTAAAATCAAGGAGAATCTTTCACTGCTCACTGGACTTTCAGAAAGTGGCTGGGTATAAGCAGACGCTGACATCAGTCCCTGCTCACATGAAAAGCCCTCTCTCTCTCTGTGAATCCCAGTGCTGGCACACACAGCCACACAACCTTGCCTAAAAAGAAAAAGGAAGCTTTGAAATACAGAGCGAGCTGGTGGGTTGGAACAAGGACAGGGAGAGAGAGAGAGAGCACAGTCGATCTGCCCCTGGTTGTGAGCACAGTCGCGGAGGCAAGTTTAAGCTGTAAACATCAGCCACTTACCTGCATTGCTTCTGAGAGAGTTGAGACATCTTTTTCATCCGTCTGTGTGAGTGTTTGAAACAGACATATTAATAAGCAAGAAAGAGCCTGATTGTGTGTGTGTGTGTGTGTGTGGGGGGGGTGGGTGGCAGCTGAACTCTGACCAAACACAACCTGTCTCTGATCCACTTAATTAGCTCGGAACTGGGGGACTTTTCCAAGCAAGACGCTGCGAAAGATTGTTCAACTGCAGAGGGTGAGTGATGTCCCATCTCTGTGCTACTACTGTAAGAAAGATTTGCACCTGGCGGGGTGGGGGGGCATTTGAAGTAAACTAACCCCAGCATTTTGTGCCTTTCAAAGCTTCCAGCCGCAAATGTGTAGATAAAATGACGTTGAACATTGAAAGCAGGGTGAAAGTGACCGATCAGCCCTGACTTGGCCAAGAATCCCAGCAGAATAATAGGGAGGGCATTTGCAGAGTAACAATGCTAGAGGGTGGTGAGGGGAAATTGGGGGCGGGGGGGAGCAGGGAGCTTTCGGCATTTTATATTATTGAATTACTTTATTTTTACTTTATTGTTTTTGAGGAAAACTCTGTGCGTATGTGTGTCCGTGTGTGTGTGCGTGAAAAGAAAACCTACACTGCAGATCTTTCTAAAGCCTGTCAGTAGATCAGATCAGAGCCAAGAAGCACCATCAAAGCAAAGACTTGTGCATGTCATGAAATGTCCCTCAGCTCATTAACAGAGCCAGGGAGGGGGCAGCAGTGGGTTCCGGCCGGGATGTGTAGATGCACACCAGTTGAGTTAACATTATCGTGAGGTCTAAGATTGATCTGTGGAATCTCGTGCCTTTTTTGGGGGTCAGCTGGGTGTCTTGACACACTTGGAAACCCATTCCCATGCTAAAGAGTATCCAAATTAATCTGAGAATTCCAATGCATCCCACCTTCACATGGAAATCCCAGAGATAACTTGTTGGAATGGAATACACACTCTCTGCCTGGAGGGGCATATCCTGCTTATCGAATCCCGGAAAGTATTAGGCTCAGGTTGACAAGAGCCAAGTCTTAGGGACGCCAGTGTATGAGTTGGGGTAACTGCAGGAGTCTAACCAGCTAAAATCTCACGCCTGAAATTGCAGCCTCCAATTGCTATCAACTCGAATGCCAGTCAATGTGATGGCCTTTGAGGTTTACAGTATGATTCCTGCCAATAGATGTCCCTAGCTTGTTCAGGAATGGGGCGCTGGACTTTAGGGCTGGCAGCCAAGTTATTAGAGTATAGATTTGAAGACAACACAAATTTAATAAGAATGCATTATATCCTAGACAAAGACAGTTTGCATCTATGTAGTGCCATTCGTGCGGAGTAGCGTCTTAAAGCGCTTAACAGTGGTGGAGTTTGTTATCGAGAGAGGGGAGGTGACTGTGGGCACAGTCGAAGAGGAAGGTCTAGGCGTATACAGGTTGGTGGGTGGGGGGGGAGCTGAGTGTCCTGTATATGTCCCAGAATCTGGGGTTGACTCTCATGAATTATTTGATCTTTTTCCCCCCACCCACCATCGCTTCTGACCCAAATAAATTGCGCCCATATTAGTGAATCACAACTTTTGTTTAGCTTTTTAGCTCTGTAATTACGGCGAGGGTTACACTCTGTGTAGTCGTACAGACTTGCTGTGTAGTCAGTTACTCACTGTGTAACATTACAGACATTACTTTACACTTACTCACTGTGAGTGCTGAAGGGAGTGTTGCTGAGTTGGCAGTGTAAGAGTTAACTGGCTGTTTACTGCAGTTATACAATAATACAGAGCCTCACGCTACTGCTCAAGAGATTCTAGCTGCTGAGGGTTCAAAGGTGGCCGGGTTTAATCTGGTACAGGTTGAGAATAGAGGAGTTTAATGGCTAATCTGGGTGAGGAGCAATGTTCACTGTTAGCCGGTCACTGGGGCAGATTGCTGGTTACATCTCCATGTCGTCACAAGGTTAAACCCACTCAGTAAGATGCTCACATTAGGGTTCAGGTCAGGGATCAGTCTCACATACACAGTCAGGGCTCACTTCTTTCCTCCTCTCTGTCTCTTTCCCACAGAAACTTCACACACACTTGTCTGTACACATGCACGCCCAGGTCACAGAGGGTTAATGTGAAGACCCTTTTGACCCATTGATCTCATGCTTCCAGAATACCTACCCTTCAGTCTTCCCATTGAGCTAATTTTTAAAGGAGACCATTTGTCCCAGTCTCAACCACTTTCCTAGTCCTTTCAATGTCTTCCTGAAATTGCCTCGCAAACCCAACTGACCTTTTCTTCTGCTGCCTTGGTGTATGTCAAAGTATTGCTCTGGATTTGCTCTCTCAATCCAATTTACAAATACATACGAAAGTAGTAACCGACCATTCAGCCCCTCCATTCTATTAGATCATGGCTGATCTGTACCTCAACTCTATTTACCGGCCTTTGCTCCATATCCATAATATCCTGACCAAACAAAAATCTATCGACCTCAGTCTTAAAAATTTCAATTGATCCAGCATCCACAGCCCTTTGGGGGAGAGAGTTCCAGATTTCTACAACTCTTTGCACATGAGATCCTCTATGAAGGGAGAGCTGATACAACCATTCCTCATCCCTGTAACATAGATGCGGACATGCGCACACATACATGTAAGCACTTAACTTTCATATCTACGGACGCCGTCACTCAACAAAACAATTTTCAAAGTGAGATTGGTAATGCTGTGCTCTTGTGATTGTACTGTTGTGTGTGTCAGCCTGGATCAGTCTCATCTGCATCAGAAAGTCATGAGTTCAAGCCCCTCCAGTTGAGGCTTTGAGCTCACAGTCCAGGCTGATATTCTAGTGCAGTGCTGGGGGAGCGCTGCGTTGTTGAAGGCGCCGTCCTCTGGATGAGACGTTAAACCGCGGTGCCATCTGCCAGTTCAGGTGGATTTTACAAACAGGGCCAAGGGATCTTTAAAGAGAATGAGTTTTTCCCAGTGTCGTGGCCAACAGTGATCCAGATACATTGATCATTCATTTCATGGCTGGGTCTGTGTTGATGAAAAGCTTGGCTGAGCAGAGGGAGCAAGAGGAGGAATGGGGTAGGAGGAGATGGGAGAGTTAGACGCTAGGGGGTAAGGATTTATAGATACGGTATAGATTATAGATAGATTGAAACCAACCCACTGAGGGATAGGGAGCCGGTGGAGCCTGACTTGGGCTGGGGCAGTGGGGGCGAGGATGTTGCTGGTAGAGTTTTGGATGAGTTATAATTCAAGGATGGTGGAGCGAGGGAGTGGAATCCAGCTGGGAGGTGGCAATGAGGGCATAGATGAGGGTTTTGGCAGCATTCAGAGTGAAGAAGGGGTGGAGGCGGGCAATGTGGCGAAGGTGAAGAAAAGCAGTCTTGCTCAGAGATTGGATGTGAAGAAGAAAGTATAGCTGAGGATTGCAAGAGATACCCAGGTTGTGCACAGGTGAATTGACAGAGAGGTCGCGGAGTATGAGGCAGTCGGAGTCAGAGTGAGGGGATGTCAGCTGGGCCAACAGCAAAAGATGGCATCTGTGACAATATACCTGCCCCCCAGCACTGCACTGGAATGTCAGCCTGGACTTGAGTGAGCTCGAAATCCTGCCGTAGGACTTGAACCCACAACCTTCTGTCTCAGAGGCGAGGAACAGCAGCTGAGCCAGGCTGACCCAATCTAAACACTGGATTAGAAGCTAAATGACTTGCAGTAGTTAATGAATCTCCACAGCTGCCTCCGCATGGTGAGGTCACAGCGTGGGTCACCCACTGACTTAAAACCATCACAAAACAAACAGTAAGAATCCTCAATTAGGTTTTACCCAGGCCTTCCTAATGGTGCAGCTCTCTTAGATAGAGTTAAAGGTTAGTACAGATGAGCCTAGCCCTCACCACACACTGTCAGGTGAGACATTAAACTGAGGCCCTGTCTGCCTGATCAGGTGCTACTATTTGATTCCTGTCCAATAATCTCCCAGATTACATTGGTCACTCACTTTGTGCCTGTTTGTGGGACACTGTTATGTGCAAATTGGCTGCCGCGTTTCACCCACAAAATATATACAGTCTTGCATGAGACGGTGCTGTATCAAAGGCTGCTGGCTTTACAGTGCCTTTCACACTGTTTACAGCTGGGTTGGCCTGCAAATTATCATAATTATATTTAGTTATTGCGTCTTATTCACATTGTTGAAATTCTCAAATAACCTCACAAGATTTTGTAGTGAAGTCCAGTGACTGAGTATTTTGGAGACGAATGTGGCAGTCAATTTGCGCTCAGCAAAGTTGCACAAACAGTTATGAAGTGAGAGCGACCAGGTTTACTGTGGGGTATTCTTGGCCAGGACACTGGGAGAGAGGAACTCCCGTGAGGGTATTAATAAAGAGGCTGACACCTGGGCACAGCTGGGCCAGGGAAATTTGCAGCCTTAAATTTGCACAGAACCTTTCACCCGGATGTAATGCCTTGAAGATTAATTGGAAGTGAAATGGATCTTGTTATTGGTGTTGGACGGGGTGGGGGGGGAAGGGTGGGTGCTGACCTGCTGTTATTTTTTCTCTTCATCCCTAAAGTTGCATTGATTGGGGCCATTCCTACCGCGTGTGGGACATCGCTGGGTCCCTTGCTCCTTAGGGTTCCTGCAATCTCATCTCTCGTGTTCTCAAAACTCGGAACACTCTTCATGCTTCTCTTCCTCTCCTCCTACTCGGAACTTCATGGAGACAATGGGATGTGTGGGTGGGTGGCGCTGTGTGGGTGGGTGGCGCTGTGTGGGTGGGTGGCGCTGTGTGGGTGGGTGGCGTTGTGTGGGTGGGCGGCGTTGTGTGGGTGGGCGGCGTTGTGTGGGTGGGCGGCGTTGTGTGGGTGGGCGGCGTTGTGTGGGTGGGTGGCGCTGCTAATTGCTGTGAGGAGCTAAGATTATTTCTTCCCAAAACTCTAAATTCCTGACAAGCCATTGTACAGATTACTGTAAGGACTCTAAGGTCCATGTTGTGTAAGCGCCTTACACACATGTTCCATTAAATACAGTCAATATCCCCAATCCCTCTTATTGAATGCGAATGTGTCTCTAAGTGTGCATGTGAGAGCAGGGGAGGGATGGGGGCAGCAGCTGTTTGCTTATCTGGAAGCTGTGTTTTTAGCACGGAGGGAACGCAATGAACATAACTTCTGTTAGCTGATGCCTGAAATTAAAGGTGCAGCATACAGCAGGAGCAG